AAATGATAAGTCTGGTCCAGATAATCCAGTGATTGACATCATGAGCATCAATCTACGCAATTGGGATAAGCATCAGCCAAGTCAGTGACCCTGACCACCCGATCCCATAAGTCGCCTCCTACGACCAACATGTGTTGTTGAAGTCCACTTCTAACCTGGATCTGCGCAGGGGTACGAATGCACACCCTTGCTCAATGGAACAATTTCTTTTGGCAAGATTTTGTCTTGACAACACTGTCACCATGGGCCTAGCCGAATTTCATTTTAAAAACGGAAAGTTAATTTAACACTGATATGAAACTTTTATTTAACAGTAGCTCACTGACTGCTCTTGAATCAGAATGCTTTTTCTTCAGTGCATCGGTCATCGTATAAACAAAGAGAACAAGAGTATATTCATTACAACAAATTTTGGTTACAGATGAGTTCCGAAGTAATGTGAGTGAGCAAGTATGGTTTTACGCTGCTTTTAGCAATATTCCAGCAATATCACAATGGGGGACACCTGAAATTGGCTTCACACATTGTACCGATGTAGGAAATTAAACCCGTGTTTTTGCCGTGATGAGTGAACGCTTTAACCACAGAGGCTACCCGACCCCCCCTCCAAAGTAAAGAATGGCAATTTAATTTTTATATATAGTATATTGTTTACATAATTTTGGTGATTGATTTGGTGTGGGGCAATATCTCATGATAAAAACAGGTCTTGAAACATTGTACACTATCGTATAGATTTTTCAGTACAGACATCAAACTTGAAATTTTGTCAGTGAACTAAATTCACATTGCCTTGTCGGTATTAATGTCTTGAACATTGCTTTGTAAGTATTGTTTTTATAATGTATTTTGTTTGTTTATGCATATTTTAAAATAGTGAAGACTTTTTTAATGGAAGTGAAAAACAAAACACGTACATGAGGTAACTCAAGCTGATAATATTTTTAAACAGATAAAATAGTGTTACAACCTGGCATCACGTTCACATTCAGCAGCGTGAATACACCCAGTAACCTTGGAAACCAAACCCGATAGTCCAGCATATGTTGTTTCACAGCAAGGTGAATGAGCCTATCAGAGAGTCATGATACGGTGCTGTAAATGTCTGTCATTGTAAAATGCCTGCCAGTGTAAAATGCCTGTCATTGTAAAATGCCTGCCAGTGTAAAATGCCTGTCATTGTAAAATGCCTGCCAGTGTAAAATGCGTGTCATTGTAAAAGGCCTGTCATTGTAAAATGCCTGTCATTGTAAAATGTCTGTCAGTGTAAAATGTCTGTCAGTGTAAAATGCCTGCCAGTGTAAAATGCGTGTCATTGTAAAATGTCTGTCAGTGTAAAATGTCTGTCAGTGTAAAATGCCTGCCAGTGTAAAATGCGTGTCATTGTAAAAGGCCTGTCAGTGTAAAATGCCTGTCAGTGTAAAATGTCTGTCAGTGTAAAATGTCTGTCAGTGTAAAATGCGTGTCATTGTAAAATGTCAACAAGATAATTGACGAGACCATCACTGGGGACTTTTGGCATCACCCCAATGGTAAAGTGGTACACTTTTGACTCTTGCATTTGAGTTGGCAGATTTTCTGTGGTCCTTTAACTTACTGACCAAGTTGATATTTTGACCCTGATACAGGTAATCTTTGATTGCATTATCAACGTTAACAGTTGTCGGTTCAGAAATTCTTTGGTTGTGTGATGCCATTTTGATTAATTTGATAAATTTCAAGTGAAGTGAAGGACACCAAGAACTGCAACTCTGCCAAAACTTTTAAAGGGAGATAAATAGTGTTACTGGCCAGGGCTACAGATGGGGATCTCCTTGTTGGAAGAATTGGCAGAATGTCTGAAAATTGATTGTATTAAAATAGGTGAACATAGTGAGAAACCCTGTGCACATGCTTCAATTTAATTCGTTTCAATTATTCCAACATGTCCATTCTTAATTTTATGCATACAGGACATGATATTTTGGGTCTGGAAAAACACAGGTATGAGTAAATCGTCAGAATGTCATCGCCATTCATGGAACTTTAAATATTGCTTCATTTATTTATTATATAGAAACGGGCTCCGTCCGTCCGTCTGTCATGTTTCGTTTCCTGAGCATAACTCAGAAACCATTCAATATTTTTTCATGAAACTTTGCAGGTCTGTCAAGTACATGCTGAACTGGTGCCTTTTGCTATTTAGAAATTTTAGAAATTTTTATTTTGTACTTTTCCATGGCAACAAGATGGACTTCGGTTCCAAACTCTTCTTTTTTTACAATTTCCATGACAAGTTCCACCTCGGTTAAAAAAGGTTAGGGTTTGTTTAGATTTAATTATGTCATAAATTCTGCAACAGGGGTGGGGGATATAGCCACGTTAGTGGCAAACTCTTGTTACAATTTCAGTGTATTTATATCATTGAAATGCATTCAGCTATCAAATTTCAAGGTTTATTCATATCAAACTTATGTGCATACTGATTTATGTTTGCGGCTGGTGTTAACCTTTCACATATACTTTTAGCTCGCCTGTCATGTGACCTTATACTGTGGAGCATTGTCTGCCGTCCAGTTGTCCGTCCATCTGTTAACTTTTACATGTTTTGCATGAAACTGCTCGGAAAGTACAAGTCTTATGGAGCTGATACTTTTATGACTGATCCTAGCTTGTGTGTCTCTGAAAGTGCTCACAGAATTCCGATCTGACTTCAGGCTTATTGAAAATGTCATTTTCCCCATTGACCATGCATTTCTTTATCATTCTTTAGTATGTAGTATGTTGTATGACAAGTAGTATTTTTGGTGTGCAGATTGTGATTTTCTATCAACCAACACCCCTGTTTTTCTGTTACTGCATTTTCGACATCTCCGAAACCACGAGTCCTATGGAAACTTTCTATGAATGATCTCAGCTAGAATTTATCTAAAATGTGCGCACAGAATTGTAATCAGACTTTAAACATAATTCAGGTGCGCTAGGGAGCATTCATGCTCAGCTTTTCAGTTTGTTAGGTGCCGCTTTGTTTGCATCATCCAAGGGATATGTGTGACAGTTATCAGGTTTCCAGGTCATAGTGTATCGCTGTCACTCCACCAGATGGCTCTGTACTGACTGTGTGGCAGATGTCATGTTTCCCCAACACAGAAATAAGATTTTCTTGCTTTTGCAGACCTGCACTCATATTAAGCCCAGCCTTCAGAATTCATGCTAGTCCTCTAGCCCGAGACTACTATACTGTGCTTGGGACAACTAATAATTCAATGATGGTAGCCCGCAATGACCAGTATGTTCACGCTGTGAAACTCGACAGGTGGTAACTCTGTGGTAACATTTGAGAGCTATAATACTTTACCAGTTCTCCATGCTTTCATTTTGCTACAAGGGGCGGTCTGGTAGCCTAGTGGTTAAAGCGTTAGCTTGTCACGCCGAGGACCCAGGTTCGATTCCCGACATGGGTACCATGTCTGAAGCCAATTTCTGGTGTCCCCTGCTGTGATATTACTGGAATATTGCTAAAAGCGGTGCAAAACCATACTCACTTACTCACTCATTTTGCTACGAGTCAGTCCAGCAAGACTAATAGTCTGTCTCCGAGACCCTAGAAAATAAATTAAAAAAGTAATCCATCTCAAGTCTAGAATGATTGGGCAAGTCTAAATTGTCTCAGCTCTAGCCTGAAATTAAGAATTGCTCTTGGCTGCTTCTGGATTTTATAATTGTTATTTTGTAGATATATATTTTTAAATAAGATAACTTTATTTCTGGGACTAAATGTCAGTCTACAGGACAAGATACAAACTCTGAGGGACCCGTGAAGACCCGCCGTGTTGGAATAGATCTTCAACAACCCATGTTGCCGTAAAAGACGACTATGCTTGTTGTAAGAGGCGACTAACAGGAATCATGTGGTGAGGCTCGCTGACTTGGTTGATGCATGTCATCGTATCCCAATTGCATGGATCGAATCTCATGATGTCAGTCACTGGTTCAGACTTGATTATTTACAGACCGCTGAATATTGTTGAGTGCAGCATTAAACAACAAAAAAAAAAACAACAACAAACTTTGAGGACTTGCACTCATCCTCTGAACTCATCTTGAAAAATACAGGTTTCTAAGGCTGGAGGCCTGGGCAGGGCTTATTCACAGGCAATCAAAGCATCAGTGTGAGAATTCACCAGTATCCTCGGGGCAGCCACCCTTGCTTGCTGTCAATAAGGTTGCTGTGATAAATGTTCCACGTAGCATATGTCCGGTCATGAGCCTGTGGGTTTTGCCAGTGATGGAACGGATTGAGATACAGGATTGAGATTGTATAATTAACTGTTGGAAGTAAATGGATGTACCATGATCTCTGAATAGAGGAGGGGGCATGGGTGGCCCAGTCGTCTAAGGCGCCGTGATTTGCTGTGCAGAGTTGCGTCCCTTTGGCACGCCAGAAACCTATGATTGTGGGTTTTAATCCTGGTTCGCCCCGATTATGTTTTTAGGTTTGTCAGCACCATACCCGTGCTCGTGGGTTTCACCGAAGTGGTAAATGTCTGAGACCTGCATCACTTCGGGCTTTCCTCCCACATTAAGCTGACACGCCGTGATATAACTGGAATACTGTTAAAAGTGGCGTTAAACCCAACTCACTCACTCACTCACTCTGAATAGAGGAACTGACTCATGTTTTATTCTTCTTAACAACATTCAGCCTGACAGAGAATGATTATGCTTTTAGTGTAATACCTGTGGCTAAATTATTTTTTTCCAGTATTTTTGGAAACATTTTTTTTTATAATCTCAGGCCCACACCCTAGAATAATAATGGTCAGACCATTAACAATGTCAGTTATGTGGAATATATCAGTGTAAGCCAGTGTAAATTCATCAACCTCAACCTTCAGTTTTGTTTTTGATTGATTAAACAGGATTTTATGGAACAGACCAACTATCGACTATTTCCGAAGTTATGTCTTCACTAGGTTTTACATCAGGACATGTATTCTGTACATGAAGTGTTTGTTCAGGTGGAATAATCGAGTGATAGCTGGTGGAGGCGTTGTGTGTACACATGCTGGTCACTGTCAGGGGCAGCTGAGGAAGGACAGGATGTAAGCAGATGCTGGGACAAGATTCTTCCCTCAGTCTCCGCCTCACCCCTGCTGCAGACAGCCCTGACTCCTGGCCTTGACACCTCCAGCTGGGACCAGGTCTGTGTGGCCAGTGTATAGAGTGGGTGATAGAGTAATAGAGTGAGTTGGTGGGTGAGTGAGTTGGTGGGTGAGTGAGTTGGTGGGTGAGTGAGTTGGTGGGTGGGTGACAGAGTGAGTGAGTTGGTGGGTGAGTTGGTGGGTGGCTGACAGAGTGAGTGGGTGGGTGAGTTGGTGGGTGGCTGACAGAGTGAGTGAGTGAGTGAGTTGGTGGGTGAGTGACAGTGAGTGAGTGATAGAGTGAGTGAGTGAGTGAGTGAGTTGTTGGGTGAGTGAGTGGGTGGGTGAGTGGGTAATAGAATGAGTGAGTGAGTATGGTTTAAAGCCGCTTTTAGCAATATTCCAATAATATCACATGGAGGACACCAGAAATGGGCTTCACACATTGTACCCATGTGGGGATTCGCACCTGGGTCTTTGGCGTGACGAGCGACCGCTTTAACCACTTTTCCCCTGACCTGATATTGCTGGAATATTGCTAAAAGCCGCATAAAACCTCACTCACTCACTCACTCACACCATGGCACTGTCTCACACTAACATGTTACACTGTATCAGCATTAGGTTTTCCCCATTAATCAAACTGGCTCAAGCTAAAATGAAACATATTAAAGGCTACAAAAGAAAATTCAGCTAATTTATATTTCGAACGACCTACCGGGTGAAGATATCGTTTGGGAAATCTGTAATCCATGGAGTGTTGCACAGGCCAGTGAACTGAGCCACACAGACAATTCTCTTCAACAGGTTGTAGTTATAGCTGATCAATACACGTTATTGAACTGATCTACTACTTATCAGCAGGTGTTAGGTGTAATTGGTCTTCTATCACAGCTACACTGTATGACTAAGTGCAAGGGGAAGTGCGATAGTATTAGCATGTATTGATCATAGGTATTTTATTATTAAGAGAGCATATTAGTAATTATCAGTGTGTGAATTTCCAATTTCCTCGGAAAATATGACATAGGCATGTTTATTTGGAATATGCAATATTAGAATTAATTACATTGGATATGTGGAGGCCCAATAATCTAAAGCACTACAATGCACTATACAGAGTTGTGTCCCTTGGTTGTCCAGGATCTGCATATCTTGAGTTCAGTTCCGGATTTGCCCTAATTATACGCCTGGTCGTAGTAAACCTTTACCTCATGCATGACTTTGGGCTTTTTTCTAACATCAAGCTAAGAGGCATGAGATGATGTTAAGAGCACTGAAATTAGGGATGGGACGAGTCCAAATTTACAACCCGGGTACCCGACCCTCTATTACCTACCCGGGTACCCACTGCAAGTCTCAAGAGTAGGGAACAAAATGTCTGATTGGTAATTGTTTTACCGCAGCCCTGGCTAAAACTACTTAGATACATGTATCAAACAATCAGATCATGCGTTCACTGAAGTTGACTTTATTGTTACTCAAACATTTACAAGTCAAAGGGAATGTGTGCATCGTCAGAAAGAAATGCGAACATTAACGACTTGTAGTGTAACCACTGAGCTATAGTGAGTTTTTGTCATCAAACAATATGTCACGTGACAAACCACAGGTCCGGGGAGTCCTGTGGGTACCCGGGTCCTACTCAGGACCCACCCGACCCGAGTACCGGAGTTACCCATCCCAGCCCTAGTGGAAATCCCCACCTATTTGTTCACTTACATAGAATATGTACATATACTGTATTAGACGTAATAAGCGCCAAGGGCGCTCTCAACATTAGAAATAAGGGGCTCTTATTAGAACATAATTTTGGTGAAAAAAAAACAGTTGAAAGATCCTAAACTTCGTGGTTGATGCTAACAGCCTGAAATGATACAAAAGAAAAGTCTGTGCGTATTATACACGACAGATATATTTTTCCAGAATTTAATTGCCCATAATTAAGGGTGCATATAACACACGAGTGCGTAACAAACACGAATAAATAAGTCTTGTGTACATTAATCAATTGGAAGGGGTGCTAATTGGGATGGTTCACTTGCCAATATATCAGCAAATATCGCCGTGGGGGCTTATTAGGGCGGGGTGCTTATAACGTCGAATACGGTACGTGATATTAGTATTTCCGATATAAAATATGTACAATATACATAAAATAACTATTTCCCACATAAAATATGTAAATATACATGATATTAGTATTTCTCCCGTGGAAAATTACACAGTATATGAAGATCACACATGATGTGTGTACCAAAACAGACCACACAGTAAACTACATGATATTAGTATTTCTCCCGTGGAAAATTACACAGTATATGAAGATCACACATGATGTGTGTACCAAAACAGTACACACAGTAAACTACATGATATTAGTATTTCTCCCGTGGAAAATTACACAGTATATGAAGATCACACATGATGTGTGTACCAAAACAGTACACACAGTAAACTACATGATATTAGTATTTCTCACGTGGAAAATTACACAGTATATGAAGATCACACATGATGTGTGTACCAAAACAGTACATACAGTAAACTATGGTAATGACGAATTCAAATGGGACCAATAATTTTAGTTTGTTATAACCATAGTTCGCTATAAGCATATATACAGCATATACACACAAATGGTCTGGACCCCAAAATAAGTTTGTTATATCCGTCAGTTTATTATAAGCGTGTTCGTTATAAACGTAGTACTGTTCATGATAATTATTTGAAAGGGGATGTAAGCATGATATACAATATAGCTATTTATGACATAGGCTATTAATAATGTAAGCATTTATCAAATAGGATGTGCACAATATTCATAATATAGCGGTAAGTATTTATGACATAGGATATGTTCAATGTAAGTATTATCACATACGAGATATGCAATGTAAGTATTTATCACATACAATATGTACAATATGAGTATTTATAACAAAGGATATGTACACTGTAATTATGCAATATATATATCACATAAAATATGTGCAAAATAAATAATTATCACATAAGACATGTGCAACATAAGAATTTATCACATAAGAAATGTGCAATATAAATATTTATCACATAAGAAATGTGCAATATAAATATTTATCACATAAGATGTGTGCTATATTAATACTTATCACATAAGATGTGTACAATATAAGTGTTTATCACATAAGATGTGTATAATATAGGTGTTTATCACATAAGATATGTGCTGTATAAATATTTATCACATAAGATGTGTACAATATAAGTGTTTATCACATAAGATGTGTACAATATAAGTATTTATCACATAAGATGTGTATAATATAGGTGTTTATCACATAAGATATGGGCTGTATAAATATTTATCACATAAGATGTGTACAATATAAGTACGAGCAGCATTGCCGTGGTCCGACATGTACATTCACTGGTTCTACACTATTAGTCTGTCTCTCACAGTATATGCTTCATATGAGTATTTCTAACTTAGGGCATATACTGTTGATTCATTTCTAACATAGGAGAGCTACAATAGAAGGCCTAGAGATTGCTGTGGGGCCGTGGTTGAGGGTGTATGGCATGTATTGTTGGATGTGGAGGTATTGATATTTATTGAGGGCATCATTGTTTAGCTGTAACACCTGGCGATAGATTCAGTGAATGCACACGTCGGACCACAGCACTGTTGCTCATATTCGCAGGACATGTCTTAAGCACATAGGATAAGGTAAGAATACATTTTTAGGTAAACAGTATTTTCATTTGGTTACCAAAACAAGTATTTGCTGTAGATATATCATGTAGGTATTGATCTGGCGTTGATGGACAATTAGAGAACGCTTGAATCTTGGTCAACTTGATTGAAATGCATCGTTGTATTGTGTTGCATGGTGCTGCAGAGTAAATCACCAGCTATTCTTGTATAATATTTGGCTTTTCAATCTAAATAAAGAAATAAGAAATTTGAATTTTTAATATTGTACTGGCTCTTAAACAAGTTAAAGAATACTTTAGATGCAACCCTATGAAGATCCGGGGTAAAATAGGTCTTCAGCAACCCATGCTTGCCGTAAAAGGTGACTATGCTTGTTGTAAGAGGCAACTAACAGGATTGGGTGGTCAGGCTCGCTGACTTGGTTGATGCATATCATAGTATCCCAATTGCATAGATCGATGCTCATGTTATCAATCACTGGATTGTCTGGTCCAAACTCAATTATTTACATACCACTGTCATATAGCTGGAATATTGCTAAATGCAGTGTTAAACAACAAAAAACAAACAAACAAACTTAAAATGCTAAGTTGAAATTAGTGACAAAAATGACGCAGTAACTAAGTCACTCATCAGGGACAAAGAATATGTTTGATGTAATTCCCTATTTGACTTCTGCCACATATTCTCATGTTTTTTACAGGCAGTTGACTTGCTTTTGTGACTATAATTTCTTAAAAATGCTGGTGTATACTATCTGTTATTTTAAGGGGCCTCTTGTCGTGATTGAATATTGTTATTATATTTATGGAGGCGATGGGGTAGCCCAGTGGTTAAAGTGTTGGCTTATCACAGAGAAGACCCGGGTTTGATTCCCCACATGGGTACAATGTGTGAAGCCCATTTTCCAAGTCCCCCATCGTGATATTGATGGAATATTGCTAAGAGTGGCATAAAACCATACTCACTCACTCACTCACTCACTCACTATTATATTTCTGTCAATTGAATTATGAATTGAAAAACCAAATTGCAAACTGTATGAATAATACATTCAATCATGTCAAAAGGTACAATGAATGTATTGCTTACTTAATATCAGTTACCTTTCTTGGTCATTATGCAAGATGCAGGAGAGAATTAGTTTTAATTTGAGTTATATCAAGAATGTTTGTTTTTGAAAAGTTTTATTTCTTTCACCTGTATTAAGGCAAGATAAAACAAATGTATGCAAATATTAAACATCAGCGCCAGAGAATAACCAGTCTAAATTTCTGACGAAACAGGTTTTTAGGGCGTAAATGGCAAAATAGCAGTCAACATGGTATGAATGGATCACTGAAAATCAGGGATAACACCA